TGTATGATAGGAAATTTAATACAATACTTTCAATTTTGCATCAATTAAAATTTATGTTCATTACGTAGCGATAGCATTTAGTAATTGCAACCCAAACATTTATTTGGTAAATTTATAAATTTTCAAATTATTAAAATATAAAATTATGGTATTTATTACTGGCAATAGTAGTTGGGAGAATGTTTGTTGCAGATTTGAGGAGTGCAATAAAATTAATTTTTTAGTCATTTGGCTCACAATGGAGCAAGAATAAACTTTTCTCTTTTGTTGTGCAAGACTGAGCAATTTTGCTATTTCTTTTTTTTGCAATTTCTTTATTGTAAATAGTCAGCTCAATAAATGCACATTTTGAAAACTGGAGCATCAAGTACGGTTAAAAATAACTTTGTAATAATACAAGTCAATAATGTCAATCTCACACAGCAATATTTCTAATAAAGGTAAAAGATCTGTACAGTGTTAGTATGAAGAAAATTTAACCACACTTATTTTGAAAAACTTCAATGTTATTAGTACTTTTTTTACTCTTTCCACCCTGTTGGCACTAAAAGGGCTTCTAATAGCAGGTCCACTATGGGTTCGGCCAGGCCCACAATGAGATGACCAGGTGGTTGGGATAAGGCCCAACATACCCAAACGGACCACCACCGAAAAATTCCTGGGGATTCCGTGACCTGTCCGGATTCATTCACGGGTCCCACAAAGCAGTAGACTGACACCTTGACCGCTCGGCCATTCGGCCATCTATCAGCCAAGTGTTGCATTGCTATGACTTATTAAAACAAACAAACTTATTACATCCCACTTAACATAATTTTTTATAGTTTGAATACTATTTTGTCTATTGACAACTTTTCCAAGTCAACTGATATGAAACTTCATTCTATAATAAAAAAATCTGTATTAGAATATCTTTTTTTATTATAATATATAAGTGACAATGTTGATTTTACAAAAGTTTAACAAAATTCATTAACATTTTTTAGTACAGTTTCTAAAAATATTTATTTATTACAATTAATACAATTCCATTTTATGAAATTTTTATTGCACAATGGCGGTGTTATATTATTACTTACTTCAAAAGTTTACATTTGTCTATCATTTTGTAGTAATTTTATTTATGCTGCTTTATTACCTACTTGTTTTAGGCATGGATATCTTTTATGGCAAACACCATGCATTAAGTTTAAAAAATTTGTTTTTCATCTATAATATTAAATATCTATATTAAAATGATGAAGATATCATTGAATCTATAGAAATTAATGCTTTATGTAACTGCAATGTTTCTTGTTTTTAGTAGAAAATCTCTCGCAATGTCTGCATTTGTTTATAGTGAACTTTTAATACGTCTATCAGACAACGTCTCCCATCTTTACGTAGAAGGGTTAATCTCTCTATAGCAGATTAGGATGACGTTGTGTACGCTTAGTAAGTGTTGTAAGCATGATAATAGAGAACATACATCCGAGACATGTGATAATAATTGGAGGTGACTGAAATGTAAGGTTGGAAATAATAATAAAGTTGGGAAAGGGTAATGGGTAAGTATAAATATGGAGCAAGTAATAAACAAGGGAAAAACGTCTTGAATCTGCGCTAGATCAATATTTAATGACATGAACACCAAACTCCAGCAAAAGAACTAAAAAATCTACATTTCCAAGTGCAAAATTTTTTTTCAAGACTCTTTTTTTCTGTGAATTGTTTTGCATTGTCTAGGCCAAACTCCATTTGTATTATCTTCGTTTATGAATGCTTGTTATTTGTGTTTCTACTCTTTTCTGTCAGACAGGCTTGTGATAGAATTGTGTTTTGTATGTATATGTCTCTGATTGTATTATCAGTCCATGGTGTGTCACTACTGTAAATGCCCCAGCATAAACTAATGTATGGATGTATGAGAGTGTGTGAGAATGTAGAAATGAAATGAATGTAGTATAGTAAGTGAGTGTTTACATAATTTAGTGTTTTTCCTAATACCTTTGTCATGTTGATTTTTGGTATTCATGGTCTTTGTATTGGATCTGTACCTGTATATTTAGTGATTATTCTCTGAAATATATATGACAGCATATTAACTAAATATATGTGTATGTTATCAATAGTGGATGACGCAGCGTCTATACGATCACTAGTAATAGTTGTTGTGTGTATGCTATAATCAATGCTTGTTGCTGGATTATCCTGACAGGTAAAGGATCTTCATTAATGTTAAATGTTTCTGTTCGTTCTATGTATTTGATCTACGACCTTTTGCTTGATAAGTTCGAGGGTTGTTTGTGTGATAAGGTTGTCGTGTATAATTGTTCTTTTTTGATCAACAACCCTTTGTTCAGTAGCAGTGAGGTGGGGATATTGTTTTGTAAATCGATGGTGTAGTTGTTGTCTGTATGTTGTCAGATTTCTTTCAAGTCTTGTGATGGTGTAGTAAGTATGGATGATAAACGCGTTCATTTCTGTTCTCCATTTCATCTGTTGGCGTTTTTTCCAGCTTTTGTTGTCTGTGGATGTATTGCTACAGAAACACCAAAGCTAGATTTGTAACTCACTTCTGTCAATGGCTTAGCCATGCTTAAGCTGATGCTGCTTTCGCCAGCGGTAATCAAGGGACACTGTGACCTCTTTATCGAATGTGAGCCTCTGCGTAACCGACGATCTTGTTAACTCGGACGACGTCCGAGCCAGTATCACACTCTGATCTGGTTACTACCATGATAATTATCTTCAAAAACGTGGTTCTGTTCACTCTTAGCTTTGTTCCTGACCTTAGGGTGCGACTATTTAGACGCGAGCAAGCGAATTTTCTGAGATAGCGAGAATATATAGCGAGAAGAGGCGAGACGTCATAAATATCAAAACCTGTCAGATATGTGCGAGAACCAGTAATTCGCCCTCGCCAGCGTTATTTTTCGCTTTTCGTTTGTGCATGGTTTTCCTTTGAGAAAACTAAATCGCTGGCAACCTCTCGCTCGCTCTAAATTCGCGCCTGCCATAGTCGCACCCTTAGACCTTACTGGCATGGGTGTCCCTACCTGGAGCAGGCTCCAGCCTGCATTGTTTTATCGATCAGTAAAATTACTGGGTTCTCCCACCTCAACCAGTGATCAGTGATCAGTGGTGACCATGAGAACAGTTATTATTATTATTATTATTATCAATCCATCTCGATTATGTTATAAGATTAAATTTTAAAACTTTTATTATTCTGAAAATCAGGATTTAGGGGCGGATCATTTTTTTAAAGAAATTGGAAAAAGAGAACGATTTAACTTCAATTAGGAATTAATATTTTGTAACTTTGACAAATTTTTCGAACAACGGTTGTCAAAACTTTCGATTTTGATAGAAAGTTCATTTTCTTTCTCTGATGACTAGTAAGTTGAATTAGAAACGGCCGCACACGAGACATGGCTGGCTGTTAGACCGTCGACTTGTATAAAAGGGACATTTTTCTGTCACTCAGGACAATTCTACGAAATCCAGATCTTAGAGGACAGAATTCGCCATACGATATAGGATAGTCCATCGAAAGAGGTTACCATACAGAACTTAAGCAGTTCGTCAGAAGGAGTACATAAAATATGATGAAGGCCGTTCATAGTTAAAAGGACAGCCACATAGATGTTGATCATATTGTATTAGAGCATCCATAGGTGTTACGATTCCTAAACTTCTCCCTGATTCGAGAAGACAGCGTTCAAATACATGATACTCACAGAACTGTGTAGGTAGATCTGTTATTATAATCTGTTTAGATTGATGCGAACTCTATCTCACCCGTATAGGTTGATTTAGATTTAAGTTAGATAGTTGAATTTTCTCTCTGCGAGATAGGTTCAGAATACATCATTTGTAATCAATTACTAACCGCCTTCCAACTCGATATTCCTCTAAAATTAGACATATAAGCTTGCCTAACTCTATATCTAGGCTGGAGTCAGGAAAAACAACTTCCGGGGGATCTTACGAACTCCTGGTCTAAATTAAATATATCGGGAAGTCATCCGTTGACAAAGGAGGTCGATCTTAAGATCTTGTGCCGATTAAGTGGTACCCAAGCTCTGTCAACGTAGTACCCTCCGCTTATCTCACAATATAACTCATCACTACACTCTACAAACATACTCTACAAAAGTATATTTTGCAATTTTATAACAACTAATAATAAAAGTAATTTGCGATTTTTCTAAAATGAATGTACTTTTTTCATTATTTCTGTTTTTATCTAGTTTATTATTTTGTTATATTAAATTATATATATATATTACTGTATTACTGTTACTTATTCTTTGAATTCAAAATAATTAATATTTCAAAGAATTTTTTTAAATATGTTCTATACAAAAAAAGAGTTATCAGTGTTACATTGTTTTAAAAACCAGATGTCCTGTAGAACAGGTTTAAAACATTTGAAACATTTCATAAAGTTAATAAATAATTCTCAGTGAGAAAAGGTTTTGTCGTGCTGGTCAAAAAGAATCTAGCTTGGTATTAATATAATTCAAAAAACTTATTGATTTCTTGAAATAATCCCATTCTTTATGAAGTCTGAATGTTGGGTATATAACCTATTTTAAAGTACAAATATCCTATGTAACATTGGCAAAATTCATAGATCAATTACAATCGTTTCACGTTAGATAACCTTCAAGTTTTCATAATGTTTTAAGTATATCATAGCGATATACTTTTCAAAAAGTTTCTTTGACTTAATTTTTTATTTCATATCACAAATTTTTTCAATAAAAAAACTACATTAATTCAACAAATTGCATTTATATAAAAAACCCAGAACTGTTATATAAATAGAGTACTTCACCAAATATTAATCACCGTTTAGAGTATCTAATATTCATAAATTTCTTCTTGATCTCAAACAGGAATAATTTATTTTTCATCAAACAAAAAGCATGCATAAAAACCTATGTATTAACTGCTTTAGATATTTAAAAAACGATTCAATTTTAGTCACAGAAAGAATAGAAATGCAAAAATATTCAAAAAATTTTTTATTATACTCTGTATATAACCAGAAAACAAATTTTTTCTATAATCCATATGTACTACTTGATTTATGAGAACAGAAATACTCGATTATAAATTTACTGATTACATTTATGAACAAAAGATATTTTGATATATTCTATTGACTTTATTTCGTATTGTTAAATTCTTTTAGGTTTAGTTTTTATTTTCAGGAATAAACCATTCTAAATATTTTTAACAATGGTCTCTTAAAACACTTCTGATTCAATATCAGTAATGTTTAATTAACAAATACAGTAGAGTCTCGAAAACTCGGCCTAATGTGGACCGAAGGGTGGCCGAGTTTGTGAAAATGCCGGGTTATTGCGAATGGGGTTTAAAAAATAAGAATGAGTGTTTCCTCAGAAAATACTGTATAGTAGTTGTATGTATTCTTAACTTGAAAACACAACAGAGAACAAACTGCCCAAATACCCTTAAGGAAAGGAAAAGTACGTCCTTTATTAAGGCACAGAGCCTTTACTACAAGAAAATAAGAATTAATGAATACACTGTGTACAGTAATTTACCTGATAAGACATACCTCAGAAAAATACTTTATGAGGCATGAAGCTGTCTATAATGAAAATTAATTAACTAAGGAATTTTTTGCCCTGCCAGGGTGTGGTCGAGTTATCCGAACTGCCGGGTTATCGAGTTCCAAGGTTTCGAGACTCTACTGTACAAATTTAATACAGTAGTAGAGAATGATAATACTAGGTTGATATGTATCAAAGACGATCTGCTGTTTTATAGTTTCGTACTTTCCATATATTTTTGAACATAATATTTTTCTTTGGCAATTTTGTATAACTCATTCATCGAAGTAACTCCCGTGTTTTTTACCAAATTATAAAAAGTACCATTCACATTTTTAAGTAATGCATATGGCGTTTCAAATTCTTGTAGTTTTCCATTATCTAGAACCTAAAAGTTTGAAAGGTGTAATTAAGATATATATTTATGTTTTACATTATAAGCAGAAGAAACTTACCATGACTCTATCCGAATCAATAATTGTATTTAATCTGTGGGCTATTGTCAACACGGTACAAGATTTGAATTTTTCTCGAATTATTTTTTGTATGCAGGAATCAGTTCTTCATATAAAATATATAAAATATATTTATATCAGTATGAAAATAATAGAAAGAAAAGATTTACTTGAAAATAACAAAGTAGAACTTGAGATAAAAATGCAAAATGTTATATCTATAATGTATATTTGATATAGTATAGGTTTTTTCTGTAAAATGACTTACTGCATTTAAAACAAATTTGATTGAATTGAATTGATGGAAATTACTAGGCCTATATGAAAATTTGGCCAAAACAATTGCCTTCAAGAAGAACTCTCGATAAAAAACTAATTTGGATATAGATGTTTCAAACTTTAGAGAATGGACTAAAATGAACGTGGAGAACTCGTTCATGACGCAATAGCGTGCAAATAGCTACCAGTGTTTATTGGCTTTAATCACTCAGCTGCTGTTAAGAGCATATAAAATGTTGTTATTCTTGCACACAGAATCTGTAAATGGATAACACTGGTACCACTAGCAAAGTATTGTATGATAAATGTTACGTTTCACGCTGTATCTAGATCTCTACTTACGATTATACCCTACCAGTATTGTACTCTATTGTAAATATTTCACAGCAGTAACAAAATCCTATTAGTTATTTATGAACCCTAACGAAAAAGTGAATCTAGTCAATAAGAGCAGACACATCTGCATCTTACACTAAGTGTAATGTTTTTTATCTCAATACATACAGAACACATATTTTTCATAGAACAATACGCAAAATACGAGAAATTGTCCTAAGAGAGTCGACCCAACTCTGAATCTGTGCCATAGGTTGTAATGACTTTCTTTTGTGAATGCGATAAACCCATTGTCAGTACAGATTCCAAGACTAAAGTATAAAATGAGATTGACTTTGTCTTGAAAGACAACTATTTACACTACAACTAATGAAAGATAAATTTTAATTCTTAATCCTTACTAATCGTTACTAATCCTTAAAGATAAATCCTTACGAATGTGAGATACGGAATTTAATAACTAAAAATATAATTATTTTTTCCCTTATGTTTATGTAACGAATTGGAAGAAAAGACGATCTTAGCCGGGAATGTGTAAACCTTCCTGCTATAACCATCAACATTTTATTGTCCTCGCATAACTTGCAGCTCGACTTGCACAAAAGTTTATAGTTAGCATCAAAAATTCGTCACTTGTTTAGGTCCCTGGACCACCTATAACCTTTAGCTCATAGACCATTCGATCACGTGATGGAAAATCTTTCACAAAAAAGCTATAAAAGACTGTTCCTACCCCCTCTCGGGGGAGTCTCTTAACGAAAGCCGGACCGACGACATTGCGCTGACTTTTTGAACCCGCCGACATTTCAATCTACGAACATCGTTATCCGATCATCGCCAAAGTCGCGAACATTTTATAGTTGTGCTTATTTGGCTTAAAACCACCTTTTATTGAACAATTAAGTGCCTACATGGACTTACTCGCCTAGGAACCATACAAAAAGATATGAAAAAGTGTGTAAACTCGCTCTCGAGCTCTTAGGCGGTTTCGAACGAGAATTGTGTAGTCTTTTTGTCGATGTTGTTTATTTCAATAAATTCTTATTTTTACTTGTTAAAATGGTAGACTTCTTTATTCGTATACGCCCTTCACCTTATCGTCGACCCCAAAAACCTCTCCCTCCACTCGCCTGACTTGTCAACTTGACTGACGCCGAAACGGGAGACCTACGACCTCCCCGGCGGTTCACCCTAATGAAAGATAAATCCTATAGGTATAATCATGCAAGATACTTTATCTCAAAAAAGTATCATACATGATTATAACTACAGAATTTATATTTCATTTAATCCGCCAACAATAATATATTAAATTTCCGAATACAGATAAACGATGTGTTTTTGACAAAATATAAATTCACCCGAGTGAACTACACTTAAAGAAATGGTACTCGTTCCATTCCACATAAAGGACATGTAAGTAGTAGGTTATATGTAAAAAATAATTTTTTAACAGCAAGCTGACAATGCTTGGAAAACATTAAAAAAGTTGAGTAAAGTACTTTTAGAACGAAGAATAATCTGGAACTGAAATAGATTAATAAATTATATTGTAAAGTCTGATATTAATTAATATCCATTTGAAAAATACTATAATATACGTTGATGCATAACAAACTGAATCACTTATTCAAGATCCCATTAGGAGAATATATCATTTTCATCAAATTGTCGCACGCTATATAGCCAGAGCAGAAAGAAATTCTCACTGTACTGATTTCGTAAAACCGTTTTCGTTGTCTTTCTGCTAATAAGAACATTATATTATCACAAAAACAGAAATTAATTGAGGCATTATCTACTGTTGAAATCTAAATATATATAACTCAAAGGTGACTGACTGACTGACATAGTGATCTATCAACGCACAGCCCAAACCACTGGACGGATCGGGCTGAAATTTGGCATGCAGGTAGATGTTATGACGTAGGCATCCGCTAAGAAAGGATTTTGATCAATTCTACCCCCAAGGGGATAAAATAGGGGATGAAAGTTTGTATGAAACTTTGTCAATTTTAAACCGATCGGGCTGAGACTTTGCATGCATAAAGCTACTATGACGTAGGCATCCCCTAAGAAAGGATTTTGATAAATTCCACCCCTAAGGGGATAAAATAGGGGATGAAAGTTTGTATAAATC